CTCACCTTGGTGGATGGCTAGCATGCAAGGCCTCCAGAGAACAACACTGTTGCGACAGTTTTTGACGAGAAGGGGAAGCGGTGGTTGAAGGCCACACGTGAAAGTTAAATATGTTTTGGTGCTTCCAAAGTTGTCAGCGGCACAACCACACCTGCGCAAAGAGATGTCACTTGGGCGACGGTGGCTAAGACATCTAGGATATGGAGCTGCCAGATATTGATATTGTCCAGGACGAACATCAGGCACATCCCAAAAACAACCGGTAAAGGGGCAGGAGAATATCAGATGGTTAGCCGTCTAAATGACAACAACACATAGGGGGCGTCCAGCACCGGTAGCATCGATGATTTTCTTCCAGAGGAGGACATCCCGCGTGTCGATTCTAGCCTCGACCAGGAGCCACCCAAAGTAACACACCCACGAGGTGCTGCCTGCAACTGAGCTAGATTAATCAGCAAATGGCCTGGCCTATCGCCAAAACAACACATGTCGTAGAGGGCAGGTGTGGCCAACACGTCCTTGGCGCCGACGCAACAAGTGAGGGAGGCGGCTGGGGAGATTGAGATGGTCAGATGGATGGGAGGGGTCAGGTTAAGTTTTTTACTTGGAAGGTGTTAGGCGGGCTTCAATGGGCTTGCATGTAATGCTGATCAGTGATGGGCACATATTTTCGCTCGCCACTAGTAATTGATTATTAGTTAAGGGCACCCCTTCTGACCCGCCACTAGTGGTGATTACCACTGGCAGGCGTTTTCTAGGGTATCACTTTGTTTTGTCTTAAAAGGGAGATACCAATGCTTAGTATGGATGAGAATATTCTAGCAATGGGTTACCCAAGGAGTTCCTGCAAAATTGTTCATTGCTTCCATCACTACAAGATTGAAATATTCAATGAGGTGCTTGATAGAAACATAGCTAAGATGAATAACCGGTTCAGTGAAACTTCAACAAGGTTATTGATATGCATTGCTAGTCTAGATCCTAGAGACTCATTTAGTAGATTTAATCATGAGAACCTGCTTGAGCTTGCATCTATGTACTTAGTCGACTTCGACCCAGAAGAATTATATCATTTGGATGGTCAGCTCAAGATATACATTGATATGATGAAAAGGTATCATGTTTTTTGTGGTTGTGACAATATTGCTAAACTTGCCCTCAAGTTGGTTGAAACTAAGGAACATTTACAATTTCCTTTGGTTTACCGGCTCATCAAACTTAATTTGACTTTGCCAGTAGTGACGACATCTGTTGAAAGAGTTTTCTCAACCATGAATATCATAAAGATAAATTTGAGAAATAAGACATCTGATGATTGGTTGAATGATATGAAGGTATGCTATGTTGAGCGAGAAATATTTGCCGGAATTGAGGACAAGAAGATTAGAGAACATTTTCATAGCTTGAGAGACCGTAGAGGCCATCTACCAAACCCTCCTCGTATACTTACAACTTAGGGTAATTTTTTTTGTTATCTATTGTTTCAAACTATTTGCTTACTTTTTCTAAGACATATATTGATAGCCAAGTTGCTCACCTGCTGTAGGCATCTATTAGTCATGGAGTTGGGCATTTTGGGCCATGGAATGAATGATTCAAGTGACAGGAGTCCATGTTAGTAGTTCTCTATGACGTTCATGTTAGATTTTGTGTTTTTTGGTGGTTAGATCACCTAGTTGTTGAGAATTTTGAGCTGTTCTAAATCGTTGGTTATGTTGATTCTCGAGTGCATCTTGCTTCATATTTGAATTTTGTGAGATTTGGTTCAGCGGACTTGCATTTTTCAATCAAAAAATTTATACCTCAAATGTTCCGCCCCGGCTAAGTTCAATTCTTGGATCCCCCACAGGTTAGAATTAGTGTTTTAGGAATATATCTATGGTCCATTTCCCCTATATTGTAAGTATACCACTAGAAGTTGCATTTAAATTTTTTGCCAATTTTTAGGTTTAATTTTCTGTTGTTGGGGCATTAAATGAATTTCTAGATATTTAATGGAGGTAAACTTTTTGTTTTGTTTTTTAAGTGAAAATGAAGTTTGGAAAATATGAAACTTAGCATGGAGTCATGGTATGTCATGTAGGCATTGTGTTTAATTTCTCAGTGAGTTAGAAAAAAGTCGTGATGTATTTCACTTAGAAATTGTACTCAACATACACCATTACATGTATCATCTTTGGGGAAGGAACTAGGTTTCAAGAGGGAATGAGCAAGTTTACATGTGAAGCGACCGCTGTTTCGCCAGTTGGACTTGAGATTGTTTTCACACTCAACATACACCATTACATGTATCATGTAAAAAAATTGGCAATTTCTTGGGTCTGTTTGCTATATTTAAGCCATTAAATGCATTGCTAGGCTTCTAATTGATACAATTAAAATTTGAACAATAGGTACATGACATAACCGTTAGGAATTGGTTGAAAAAAAATCTTATTGGTGATATGATTTTTTCTAAAACAGCGGACCATTGGCAACAGAAAAAACAGCACAAAAAGAAAACAGCGTCCAGCGAACGAGCGGGCGGACAGACGAGCGAACAGCGCAAACTAGCGTTCTTCTTCGGTTCGCGCCGGAACTGGAACTGGTGTCCATGCTTCCAAAACCATTACTATCAACATTCAACAGTAGAACATGCCAACTAAGTCCAGTCAAAAGGATGTACGTACATGCTACGTACACTGGAATTCCACGCCCCGGACGACGAGGCACAGCTGTTTCCCCCAAGTGCAGTGTACGCACTCGCCGCGATTGGTGGACGAGCTCGCCGTCGCCGGGCGATGTGTTGTGCCGAACCAGATCGTGACCTTGGCGCGTATTCCATTCCACGTACTAGGCCAGAGCAAACGTCTACGTACCGTGCCAGCAGCGCTGGAAAACGGGAGCTGGCTAGCAGTGGTGGACCGCGTGCCTTGCCAAACTGCCTAATTACATTACATCCTAGCTTGCGTTGTTCGTATAAATAGGGGGTGGATGCTTGGTTCATTTCATGCAAACCGCACGCACGTACGACGTACGTACCAGGTGCAGAGTTTTGGAAGATCTAGCTGCACTACTGGTGCAGAGTTTGGTTGCAGGAAGACGTACTAGTGGAGATGGCAGGGCATCGTGCCTGCATGTTTTCGGTGGCGTTGGCCCTTCTTGGAGTGCTTCTGGCATCCATTCCTGCAGGCAATTCCCTTCCCTTCATATTATCTATCGGTGAGCAAGCTAGAGTACTAACTTCGGTTGCGCGTTTCACTATTGGAAAACACACAGAGGTGCAGTCCATCGGCGTGTGCTACGGCGTCAACGGCGACGGGCTGCCCTCGGCCAGCGAAGTCGTGCAGCTCTACCAGTCCAACGGCATCACCGGCATGCGCATCTACTTCCCGGACGCCGACGCCCTGCAGGCCCTCAGCGGCTCCAACATCGGCCTCATCATCGACGTGGCCAACGAGGACCTCGCCTCCCTCGCCTCCGACCGCTCCGCCGCCACCGCCTGGGTCCAGACCAACGTGCAGGCCCACCAGGGCCTCACCATCAAGTACATCGCCGCCGGCAACGAGGTGGGCGACCAGGGCGGCGACACGGGGAACATCCTCCCGGCCATGCAGAACCTCGACGCCGCCCTCGCCGCGGCCGGGCTCGGCGGCATCAAGGTGTCCACGTCGGTGTCGCAGGGCGTGACCACCGGGTTCCCTCCCTCCCAAGGCACCTTCTCCGCCGGCTACATGGGTCCCATCGTGCAGTACCTGGCCACCACCGGCGCCCCGCTGCTCGCCAACGTGTACCCCTACTTCTCGTACGTGGACAACCAGGCCCAGATCGACATCAACTACGCTCTCTTCACGTCGCCGGGCACCGTGGTGCAGGACGGCGGCAACGCGTACCAGAACCTGTTCGACGCCCTCGTCGACACGTTCTACTCCGCGCTCGAGAGCGCCGGCGCCGGGAGCGTCAACGTGGTGGTGTCGGAGAGCGGGTGGCCCTCAGCCGGCGGCACGGCGGCGACCACGGACAACGCGCAGACGTACAACCAGAACCTGATCAAACATGTCGGGCAAGGGACGCCCAAGAGGCCCAGCGCCATCGAGGCCTACGTGTTCGCCATGTTCAACGAGGATAAGAAGGGCCCGGCTGAGATCGAGAAGCACTTTGGGCTCTTCAACCCGGACAAATCGCCGGCGTATCCCATCAGTTTCTAGAAGGCGGGACACATCCATACGCCTACGTACGTAGCAAGACAATACATATGCCGCGCTGGTGTCTTCCTTGTCTTGGCTTCATGGCTCGTCGCGACGGGTCATGTGGACGTGTGCGGCGGCCATGTTATGGGCTATCTGGCATATTCGTAACAAGCTTACCATTGAGGGTGTTTTTTCCTCGCACCCTGCTGACGTTATCTTCATATGCATCGTGTTCTTACAGCAATGGACACCGCTGGGAAGGCAACAGGACTCTGATCTTCATCGTCATGCGATTAACCGCCTCCGCTCTGTCTACGCCGAGTCCCGCGCCCCGTCGTCCGCGTCGTCTGCTGGCTCATAGGGATGGGCAACCCCTTTTGGTTCTACTTTCAGCCGAGCCTGCGTGCTCGTTTCGCTAGGCCGGTCGCGCCCTGTATCGTACTTATTTCCGTCTCCGGTTTAGTTGTGCTCTCCTGGACTTTCTTTTGGTCTGTTGCATAGTGTGGGTTATGTGGTTGTGCTACGCTGCCTATGTTGAGGGCTTTATTAATTTAAAGCCGGATGCCCCTGGCATCTTTGTTCTAAAAAAAAAAAGACAACAAACATTTCCTTGCTCAGCTAAAATAAACTACTGCGGGCTTTGTACTTCCTTGAATAAGCTGCCTCTACTGTAGAATGCGAACATCATGCTTTGCACGGATGGTGGAAAAGGTCCCAAATTATTTGGATGACGAAAGCGCTCAAATTGTTTAACGGAGACAAACAATAAGAGGCACCCTGGCAATACTGTGATCTTTCTTTTACCACTTCCTTCTGTCGAGCCCTAGGTGCCGGTTGGGTAATAATTTCACTGGATCAACCGCTCCCTTGGCCGTCGGATCTGACATAAGTCACGATCCTGGGACGTCCTGGCAATAGAGAACTCCCACATGCAACATTTCTGCTGTATGTTCGGCAACATTTTATTTCCGTGGTGATTCTAATCAAGGTATATCGTTATGTGTGTACGTTTATAAGCAGTAATAGCTTTAGAGCATTTCCCACCAGCAAAAAAAGGAAGAAGCTCTAGAGCATCTCTAGCCGATCCCCAAAAATGAGAAGTATCCGGCCGAGTAAGCTAGTGGAGTATACTACTCCACTAAATTTTAATCGGACTTAGCCCATCCCCTAAATAAACAGAGTAAAATTTTCTTTTCTCATTTGCATTTCATTTTAGGCCACTGAAACAGATTTAATTGCTTCTTTATTTCATTGAACAATATTTTTATACATCGGAGTACATAATTCACCAACTGTTCGCAACGAGAACAAAATCAAAGAAAACAAGAACCAGAATTAGACACTTTAATACATATCCAGCTTTCATAACTGCTCCACTAGTTGGATTAATATTTTCTCTATGTCTTCACTGTTAATTCCCTCAATTGATAACTCGAGCTTGCACGCTTATTTCTTCCTCAGTTCCGACGAACAAAAAGATGAGCTCAAGCATAAGGACACAGTGATAAGATGGGACAAGGAATTGGTGATGGACCCAACCTAAAGATCATAAAAGAAGAGGTAGAAGCACGAACAACTCTACCGTGGTGTGCACAGCCGCTCCCCACACCCCCACCCCCCACCCGCCGCGCGTGTCGTGCGGGTGCCGACGAGATGCCATACACGCGAGGCATCGGGGTGACCAAAGACATTGTCCGCGCCTGGTGCACGGGGGTTGTTCTGTTCGTGCCGCCTCCTCCCCCCCCCTCCTCTCCGCAACAACGAGTACACAAGCGGCGCACAAGGTCTCTCCCAAGGCCGAGGTCCGAAGGGATCAGGGGTAATGGAGAGAGGCAGGATCTTTCCAACCGGCATAGAGGGATGCAGATGAGCCATGGGAGCCGGTGCCAAGTGGCGTTCTCCAATCGCCATCGCGAGAGAGAGATGTCGCTTTTGTGTTTCTTTTCTTCTCAATTTTTCTATAGAACATTTTTTCAATGTCGCTCACGCTACGACAGAGAGTGGTGAAAATAAATGGGCTAGTTGTGGCTCAATTAATCAGAGGGCTCGGAGTAGCTGCCCTTTAGGACATCTGGTCCATGAATTGGTAGACGTGGCCAGCCGGGAGCGGACGCCAGATGTAACGACCAAGAACGAAAATCAACGACATGAAACACACCTGATGTGAGAAGACTCAAAAGTGGTTCAGTTTTACTGCCATAAATTGCTACTCATTCCCTCACAAAGAATTCGACGGTGCTTACATTGCTAGTTAAATAAATTAGTGGAACATGGCTGAGTTACAAAACCTAACATTAATTTAGACTAAACTGTTGCACTTCTTTGTAACTACAAAATATATTCTCCACGTATGATTTTGCCGCTTAGTTTTCATTGTGGTTACCAACTGTGTAATTTTATTTCTAAATATTAAAGCACACTATTTCTATTAAATCATTTTAACATTGGTCATGAAATTTTCAATCCACAAAAAATGAAGTACATCTTATAGAGTGCTTGATGTGCTCTCTTTTTCGAGACACCGTCAGTTTTGTAATTTAACTAGATTGTTCTAGATTAGAGAAAAGATATAGGATTACATGTCTTCATAGATTAATTGAATTGCACACATATGTTTCCTTTTGTCTATTACAGATGTGTTAAATATTATTATAGAAAGCTATAAATGTGAATGAGGTTTCTAGAATGCATCCATATCTATATTATGTGCAAGTAATTACATGGGTAATTATCTTCGTAATAAATATAAAATTTAACCATATAAAAATATATATTACTGTTTTGTCTATGAACTGCTGTGTTGCTTGTTTACTAGTTCTCCGATGATCAAATATGTCTTTCATGCTCCTCGGTTCTATAATCAACTGACAACATGTGCATACCATGCATTTGGTCTTGGATTAGCATCATCTAGCTCAACTCGCATGGAATGGATCTAGTTTTTTTTTTGATGCGTTTGTATGAAAATGTTCTCTTTGTACTTAACAAACATTAGCACCGGTAAGAGGTATGCGTGAAAAATTTGCGCATCATCTTTTTTTCTTGGTTCCATCAGTGTGTAAATCAACCCCTAAAATAATAGTGACTTGCACAACACACCTTGACTGGCTGAACATCACAAATCAAAATTTACGCGAAAAGCTTTTAGGTTGAAAATAATGTTACACATAACCTTTTGTATTTGTTGGCTCTAATATTTTATATCCGAATATCTTCAATACATACAAACTGGATAACTAATGAGGGCCCCTAGTTGATTATCAATATTGCACTGGTCTAGAGCCGGCTCTATGTTTGTGACTAGTTATCCGACACCTTTTGCACCAATTTGTCGATAAATTAGCTTTGATAGCCATAAAGATTTTTGCAATCTCAGAAGTGTAAAAAATTACAATTCAAGTTTGTGGGCTTGGGAATCAACATTGGTGAGGACCTAGGAGGCACACTTGTCTTTTGGCCGATATAATGTCCATAGTTATGTATCATTGCATTTCATGAAAAAAAAGTGTAATTGCGTATTTTTAAAATGATGGTGGATAGCCATTTAATTCGTTACATATGTGAGGGTCTATGTAAGGAGTGATTTTTTTTACTCTTCAGCTTCATGCAACACTTTATTTTGAAAATTAAAAAAATGTAACCGCCCAAGCAACAAACAAAGATTCCATAGTGTGCATATTAGAATGCAATATACATTGGAAAAAAGGCACACACAATGACCTAAGATAAACATTTGTTGCACTAGCCGCAGTTATATATCATCATGTTATGTTTTTCTATCAAATTCAGAAACATAACCATTTTCCTGTTAATTTTTTCAATAAATAGGTATATTTCGGCATCCTCTCCCGAAATCACTTTTTTCATTTAAGTGTTTTTTCTAATAGCTTCAATAAAGTGATAGCTCACTAGACCTATGGAGACATTATACATTTATTTTAAAATTTTCAAAGAAAATTCTTTAAATCTTAGTCATATTTAGAGCCATTTAATGAAAAATTAACTGTGCTAGCTTAAATTTCTAGGTATAGATAAGTCAGGATACACAACCAATGTCTTAGGAACCATGTCTCTATAACATTAGGCGGGTTGTTTTGGACGTTTATAATACATTTGGCTGGCCAATATTTTGGTCAAGCTTTTTCTTGCCATGAGTTGATTAAAATTGGCTAAAATTTAAACTAGAGTTGCTAACTTGTCATGGGCAAATCAATATATTGGCAGCCATGCAAACAAGCACCAAACCTTTGGTTACTACTAAATTAGGAGTGCGGAATGGTTTACCCTTAGAAGATTTATTTTATACAGTAGGTATTGGTAACCATCCAAACTCATTGGAATCTTTTCTGGGACGCGCCACATGAGGCCGTAAGAGCATGTAGAATCGGACTCCCATCCCCCCTAAACGCTAGGACGGACTACCAAGACACCTCCCAGACCGAATATACACGCACTCGGACCCCAAAATCGCCCATACTTTAGGGTTGTCCAAAATGCTCACGCCTGAACACATGTGGAGATCGGGCGGAAGATGCAACCTGTCGAGGAACTTCGCACCACTGAGTCATGCCGCGTCACTTACCTTGCGCAGAGGAGGAGTACGAGGAGGTGCCGGAGGATGCAGCGCCAGAGGAGGAGGAGGCAGAGGTAGGCATGGAGCTTGAGCCCAACGGATTTGGGATGGAGGAAGCGTGGGAGCAGTCCACCTCGCCCAAATTGTTGGAAATATGCCCTAGAAGGAATTAATAAAGTTATTATTATTTCTATTTCCATGTTTATAATTTATTTTATATTTTCATGCCACAATCGCAATCGTTTTTGAATGTGATATTCGTAGAAAAACCTATTTGCATGTGTCCAAAATAAAAACCAATCAGATCCCTAATCAAGCCTCTAGACTAGATCACGCATTGTTGATGGTTCTATTTTCCTAACCATGAGCATCCTTAATGTAACAAGAATGTTAAAAATAATTAAAACACATTGTTAGAGTAACTATGATGTTGGATAGACCCAACTTACGAAATAGTATGAGATCACATCGACAATATGTTGTCCTTGTTTTCGTATGAAGTGTCAACATTTTTATTCTTTTAACGTTTACTTAAGTCCTTATACTATGAGAATATCATAAACCGGGATGACACATGATTACATTGGGTTACAAGATGTCACCCCATAACTAGATGGTTATAAAGGTGACTTCCAAGTATACCTAAAAGTATGTATTGGTGTTTGATACGTCAACAATGTGATTTGCTCCTATGGTGATGGAGATATATACTCTGGGCCCACTCGGTATTACAATGTCCATCATCGCTGGGCCAAGCATAGTGATTAAGGTGTTAGCAAGGGCACATAGAAATACGGAAACAAGAAAGGTGTACAAACCGGTAATGAGGATAACAAGGTGTAGTGATCAAAGTGTTGATCACGAGGATACAGTACAAGTCTTGCTTCGGGTTTTGTAATGTGTCACAAAGAGAAGGCAATTTTTTCTGCGTTGAAAAATATTCGCTTGATAAAATCTTCGTTGGTAATGCGGGAATCATTATGGGTGTCCAGATCCCGATAATAATTATTGAACGGAAGGTGTTCTGCACTTGTCGGCATATTATCACACATGTAGGATCATACGCCTAATGACTCGTGGTAATGTTTCAGAACTAGGAGATGATGGAGAATGAGCTCTGGAAGTGTTCCGGATGATACCGAAATTGTTTTGGGAGGTCCTGGGAATGTCCTAATGATACCATGAAGGTCCCAGAATGTATTAGAATGCCACGAGAGCTTTTGAAATGTTCCAGAACCTTCCAGAATATTTGGGAGGGTCCTTAGAGGGCCGCTCCATGCTGGAGTTGTAGGCAAGGCACCCCAAGGGCCCAAGTCGGCCAACACTAGGGAAATCTGGGGGCAAGCCACCCAGGAGAGAGTCCTAGGAGGACTCCACTACCCAGGTCGACCGACCCAAAGAGGGCCTCCTCCCAAAGTGGGTTGCCCCCTTCCCCCTATCTGTGTGTTGGGTTGGGTT